TTTGTGAAAAGAAACATTCGCGTCTTAAAGTCTTCATTCGTTATAGCAGTAACATGAATTAACACAAAGCAATAACCCGCCATCTATACATATAAAATGAAATAATTTAAAAGCACGAATGTTTCTCATATACATAATACAAAGCCAAGCCCTCCCAATATATTTTTCATCGCAGTAAGGGCAGTATAAGTTTGTATTATGTATAAAAGAAACATTCGTGCTTTTAAATTCTCTCATTTTATTTAGCAGTAACATGTTAGGTTACTCAGTTTCATAGAACGTATCCCTAGATAGGTAAACAACTACCCTGTCTTGGTGTGTATTTAGCAACTACCTTTAATCTAAGTTGCACTACATGTCTACACCTGTAGATATCAGTATGATATTTTACACCTATATGGTACCAGAGTTCAGATGAGTTTCATTGATTCACAGGTGAAGTTAGACTTGTACAAGAATTTGAGTTTATCGACGAAAAATAAAGTGTTCGATGTGGGATTCTACCCTGGATCATGATTGTTCAAAATCAACAATATTTACCAGTGCACAATTCGATAAAAAAATAATCCCCATAATCAATATTAAAACAAGAACATTAAGTCTCCAGGAAAAAAGTTTATTTTTTCCCCTGGATGCTTAATGTTCTTGTTTTAATGTACCAGTTCTTTACACCAAGCTCCTTTCACAATATAGCTAAACCTCTTCTATTCAAACATATACATCATTTTGTCTTTTTTTCTTCTTCTTCTTTCTTATCTCCACTCAATCACACTAAGGTATCAAGCTTGTAAAGCTTGTTGATGGTGTCTGCCGGGGAAGAGTAGAGTTCATCAATGGATAAGTCAATACAGTCAATAATATGTCTTGGGGTTGCAGGCTGAGAATTGCATTTAGTACATAGTGGGAAAACCTTGCAATCATTCAATTTTTTCTTAAACCGTATCAATTGATGATAAATCAGATTGTAAACTGTATGCCAATTCATTTATACCCATGGACAAAACTCAAGGAAGTTTCATAGTTTGATGTCCGGGTCGTCTATTTTTTTTTTAAAGGAGACAGAAGCAATTTTGTTCACACTTGGTTATCTCGGGTGTCTTCAATGAAACTGCTGGGAGGATTCACTACTGATTATCCGCGTCTTTCCAATATTTTTTCATCGAAGTAATGACAGTAAGACGTGTTGATTTACTCAGAAAAGGGGTGAAAATAATGTAAATAATTGTTTTAGGTCTTATAAATCGATGGCGCGCTAAAGTCAAATTACATTAATGGGCAAAACTTAAGGAAGAAACTTCGGGAAACCTTTGATATCGCTGTTCGTCTTTTTTTTTTTAAGGAAACAGAGGCAATTCAGTTCACACTTAGTTAACTCTCGTGTCTTCATCAATAAAGGTCACTGTGTATCAAATATCTTTCAGAATTATTGTCTGAATCCCAATATACATGCTAAAAGGTACAACTTCCTTAAGTTTTGTCTATCAGTGTATATATTTTAACAATATCTATAAACATATAAATCTATTTTATCATCTTCTAAATATATATCTTATACTAAAAAAAGTGTTTAAAATATATTTTCAACACATTGACAATACAATACGTTAAATCTATCTGTAAGAAACCAATTTCATTTTAATCCCCATCCCCTATGTTAAGAATTCCTAAAGTAAAAAAATTGGAAGAAAATATCGTTTGAAAACTTTTTTTTATAAAAAAGCAGACGACTCTATTTGCTCTGAAAATTGAAAGAATGAACGCTACCAATGTTTGCATTCCTACATCATTTTATTATACATTTCTATTGTTTTTTTTTTATCCAACCTGAGTAGAATTTTTGGTATTTTCACTAGACTAATAATACTTTTTTATTTAGTTTGTATTCATAGCTTAAAGAATAAGGGCTAAGTTTAACAAACGAATCAAAAAAATATATATTTATTTTAAATTTTCAATTCGATCAGGTACACTGATAAATTACATAACGGCATGTACCTTGTTTTAATAATGTTGCTTAGATAGAGTTCACACATGCTACATACATATGTATATATATGTTATATAAAAAAAGAGATTTCTGTTGATTTTTATTATCTTGAGGATTAAGCTATTCTAATGCAGTCGTGGTTAAAATTTTGAAAGTATGATAAAAAGAGTGAAGATCAAAAATAGCTTTAATTGCGCTAAAGTAATATATATAAACATAATTTGATAAAAGTACTGCCTGGCTTAAGGCGAAAGAATAAAAAAAAATGAAAAACTTATTTACATAATGTACATGAGCCGGCCATCGGGAAACAATAACAATGAGTTTTTATAGGGGAAGCGTGATCTCTGGCGGTCGATTTAACAGAGAATTTGAATCTATAAAATATAATTTTAAATAAAATAATATTTAAAAAAATATATATATATATAATATATATAAAGATTTTATAATGATTAAAGAAAGCTTTACACTAATTTGATATCTCGAATTGAAAGTACATATAATGTAATTATATTGAGTTATTAATGAACCTTATAATTGTTGCATTGTCCTGGAGTGTTGGCTTCATGTCACTGTTAGATTGGACCATATTATCAAGTAGCTTTGCAACTCCGGTCACAAGAAGCTCCTTGGGACACCTGTCAATCATCCCTGGACTCCGGGGGGGGCCACAGGTGTGAGGAGTTCTCGGAATCTTATCGGCAAATAAGGAAAACGGGACGCCTCGGTGGCTGACGACGCTCATTATTATTATCTTTACCTTGGGATAAGTTGTTATATTATCTGACTCTCTCTCCCTATAAATATATATTGTATATAATTTTATTGGAGAACTAAAAGTTAAATACCATTTATAATAAATTAATTATCCCCATATTTGTCCTTGCTTTATTTATCTCCGCGACAATATCAACATTATAAGTGAGACGAGAACATAGAGTAATCATAAAACTAAGTTATTTTAACAAGGAAAGTATATTTACAATCATTTTATATCTTTAAGAAAACTGAGAGATATCTAAACAAAATTAACACAAAGCAATAACGCGCCATCTATACATATAAATTGAAAGGATTTAAAAGCACGAATGTTTCTTTTATACATAATACAAACTTCTACTGCCCTTACTGCGATGAAAAAATTATATTGGGAGGGCTTGGTTCATCAGTGGTGAACCCTCCTAGCGGTTTCGCTAATTTAATTCACCAGACCGCTTCTCAGAGCTCTAATACTGTATTGGACGATTCTGCTTATATATGCAGCACTGAAGGATGGAATCTCAGAAATAGTTTATAAGAAAACTATGGACATAAGCTAATAGGACAGTAGAATTACATGTAATATGTATAAAAGAAACATTCGTGTTTTTAAATCCTTTCAATTTATATACCTAAACAAAATATTTACAAATAAAATACTGATGTCACGTGACTGATGATGATAAACCGAGTAGACCCCCACAGATTATTCTGCGACAATATTATGACACGTAATTACCGAAGCTACAGCGTGAACTTGTTATAGCCCTAACTTGTTACAAAAATTACAAAATCTTTTTCATACCTATAAATATAATACATGTATTTATTTACTTTCATTTTAACTATTATTTATTTCAACACACAAAACGCGATATCCCGGCTAGGGATAATTGCGTCGATTTACATTTTTTAAAAACAGAAACAGTTATAAACATATTATACAAGAAAAATTAATTAAAAATAAAAAGAGAAACAATAATATATATTAGGAACCTGAACCTTTCAGGTTAGAAAGATAATCATAAATATATTTATAAAAAATAGTTAAATCTATGATAATTCTCTCTGCTATTTACAAATTGATATAGATCTGCAAATAATTTATTGTCTGTTGTCTAGCGCTAAAGAAGAATTAAAAAAAGGTTTAATATAGGCTTTTTTGTTTTTAATATCAACACCTGGCCTTTATCTAGTTAGCAGCGACGGTCAAGTCCAGTTTTGAACAGAGAGGAGTCCTACGCTTTTATATATATTTGTGGCGACCACACTTTGCTTCAGCGAGCGCGAACTGGGACAAAGCTTCACTAAACATACGGGCAGTAGTGTGAGGGCTTCACTACGCATGCGCGGGGGGCATTCAAAACACTCTGGCCACGCGCGTCGTCAACAACAAGGCTTGCTTCCAACGGCCGTCTCTTCTTTTCTCTTTATATATTTCTGGCTTTAAATAAATTAATTTATTTTATAAAAAATAATTATAATTTTATCAGCGGCCTTTCCACAAGTAACACCAACACGCACGCAACCATCCCACATTTAATATACAGTTACGAGTGTCATGCGTTCTTCATCTCTTAATCAGTTTTCATCTCTGTCACCGTTTGCTTTTTTTTTGGAATGGCGCCCTCCTATTGGTTGGCTACGATCACGCCACCTTTGCCTCCCCCCCCATCATGCCCCCCACTCGCTTTTTCGTTTTTGTAACTATTGTGTTGGAGCGGGTCGCTCCTTAAATAAATGCATATATTAGTTGATAACTAAATGGATTTCCTCTCTTTCTTTTTCCCAGTAAGACAGGCCTACGGAAGCCAACAGTACATAGACAGATAAAGCACATAGGCTATAGTTATTAACTAATATATGCATTTATTTAAGGCGCCAATTTATAATTGTAACAAATAGTATTTGAATAAAAACATTAAATCGGGTAAAACACGGGCGTTGCCCGGGTCATTCGGCTAGTATTTATATATATACCAAAAGAGGTATTTCTCCCTTTAATTCTGTATCAGAAAGATGACACTATGCATTACCCTAGTAAAACACCTTACTAGTGAGGATAAAGAAAAAGCCACAACACCCGTTTTGGAAACTTCAGACAAAAGGCCAACCTGTACACCATGGTTTCAGGCTATAGCCCTCATCAGTACAGGGACGTCTTCGATTTCATAACATCCTACGAGAAGAATAATGAAATCGGTCTAATTCACTAAACAGGTGTTTAAGCTGTTGTCGCTAATTCTTTAACTTCCCAGAAGTAAGTCGAATCGAACTCACAGTGTTCCGCTTACCGGGCAGATGCCATGTCCACTAGGCTACCCTGGACCCAGAAGTCAGTCGAAGTCTCGGATGATACCTACCAAAAACAATTTAGTCTTAACCCATGTACACAAATTCATAAAACAAAATGTGGGTCAAATATAGACAATTTAAAGAAGAATGAAGAGCAACCTACTAAAACATCAATGAATTAAAAACGATTCTCTCTCTACTATTGCATTCCTACCAAATAATAAGAAAATAAAACAGTAATAGTTAAAATAACAAAAAAGAACTATCAAATTTATTACTTATAAACATAATTCAACTCCTCACAGAAATTCTTAATAAATTCATGTTTCGAACACATTTTCCTAAACAATAAAAATTCAATGTGGTTAAAATACATGACTATTTAAATATAATTAAAGAGAACACAACTCAGTAATCAGTGAATTAAAAGCGACTTTTGCATTCTCTTACCAAGAAATATAGCAACAGTAATAGTCTACTTCTTCTTTCTTATCTCCACTCAATCATATTAGGGTATCAAGTTGTGACCCTTGATGGTGTCTGTTTGACAATCATCATGACTGGGTGAAGTAGAATGCGTCTGCCTTTGTCATTAAGACTGGGAGCACTACTCAGTGGCAGGACGACTTAGCTCCAAAAGAAATGGCCGCCTCTGACATGAGGAACAGATGTCATGTGCAGCCGCTCCTAACACGGAGTACAAACGCTGTTCATCCTGTATCCCTGGATTAGGAGCCCTTACAGGGTACTATCAGCCGGGCCAGCTGAACCCAGGTTTTTAGTGAGCTTGTTACTGCTTCCCCTCCTTCTTTTTCATCCGGGTTTGTGACCGGAAAAGGCGGAGTTACAGTAATAGTTTAAATAACAGAGGAACTACTTAATCTATAACCGATAAATATATTTCAACTCCTCACAGAAATTCTTAATATATTCATGATTCGAACACATTTCCCTAAACATTAAAAATTCAAATGGTATTCCCCATTCTATAAAAGGCAAATTAGCAAAGAATCATTCTAGTTTGAAGTTTATTTGCATCTAGGACCTATTTACAAAGGTTATTAATAAATAGTCCTGAACTCCGACTAAGGAAGTCTTTAAACAAGAAAAGTCATTCAAGTTGAACCAATTTGGTTTCCAGCCAAAACACTTTACACTTCATCAATTATCTGAAGTTACATATAAGAATAATAAAAACATGGCAGATGATCAAATATCTCTCTATCTCTCACTCTCTCTATGAAGGTGTATTTTTTATCTCTAAGTCATTTGGCAGGGTAGCATTCTGTCAAAGTGGTTGTCACTCTTTTCCGAAATAATCCAAAACAATCTACCCCAGGATATATCATCAGAAATATAAAGACCTACTAAAAATCATAAAATTAGATTAAACGTTCTTTAAAGATTTTAACATCATCTAGGGGGAGGCTGAGATGACGACGCCTTCATGGCGTCTGCCAAGAGTAAAATATATAAATTTTATATCAACATTGAACTGAGAACCCTTATATAGAGAAACTATATTGAATCAGAGAGGTCGATGGAAGGATGTAGACCGTTGGTTTTCGACCGCTACGACCCGGGTTCGATTCCCAAATTGAGAACTTTTTCTGATTTAAAAAAATTGATCCAATGGTCCCCGATTTTTGCAAAAGTCCAACCCCACCAGCGAGTGCATATATATTCCAGTTGTGTATGTGTATGGCTGAACGCTAACATTTTTAAGGTATTACAGCATATATATATAGATGGAATATAGATTTAGCCCAGGCACCGTTCCAGATAAACACCTATTTGTCGTGTAGATCTCATGGAATAAAGTCTGTCCTAGGCTGACGAGGGCCATTAACCCGAAACCATGGTCTCTAAGTGGACGCTTCTCAGTTTGACAAAGCTGGCGTTATGGCTATTTCACTGACCTGAGGCTGCTAGTTTGTGGCAAGGTCAATATATGGTGTCTAGTATTGACTGAGAGGCGCCCTATGCATTTATAGATCTATTCACTGCCGACAAAAATTTCTATAGGGCAAAAGCCAATAGCGAATTCCATTTGCACAATCAAGAGATGACTATTTCTCAATTGTAACATTTATCTATCCAGAATAATTGCTGAAGTAAATATACAGAGGAGTAGAAAATACAGACAGGATATATACATCTGTATTATATTCTAATATAGAATATTATATATGGCATACAATATTAATATGGTGAACCACCCTTTTAAATAATTATTCACAGTGTGTATATTTATGATCATAGTTGCCCTTGCTGAGAGGTAATTAATAAATCTAACTTGTTCTGGAATAAACAATACAATAGTTTTCCATTGCAGTAAGGGCAGTAGAAATTGTTTAATTTCAAAAAGAATATTACGCGTCTATTATAGTTTCTTATTTTCATAACAGATGGTACCCTAGTGCATCATAATATAAATGTTTCAATAAAAGACTCAATTTGATATTTGCGGAAGAGCGATTGCTCGAAGCATATTATATATTTATAATTGACGAGGGCCATAAGCCCGAAACCATGGTCTCTAGGTGGACGCTTCTCAGTTTGCCAAAGCTGGTGTTGTGGCTTTGTCACCAACCCGAGGCCGCTAGTTGCGGCGACGGTCAATAGATGGCGTCAGGTTTTGACGTTTATTTTGATGGGAGAAGCGCCCATTGCTTCTATATTTATAATTGTATATATTTCTACTGTCCTTAAAGCTTATGTCCATAGTTCTTCTAAAATACCCATTCCAAGAGTCTAACAACAGTATCAATATAAAAGGAAGATCGAAAAATGCGACATAACAGCGGTATGGTAGATTAAACTGGCGAAACCGCTGGGAGGGTTCACAACTGATGAGCCAGGCCCTCCCATTAATTTTTCCATCGCAGTAAGGGCAGTAGAAATTGTTTTATTTCAAAAAGAATCTTACGCGTCTGAAATAGTTTCTAATTTTCAATACAATAGTTGTAGTAGTCTGGTAGATTAAATTGTCTACCCCGCGTGATGACAATGGATTCCTAATATTGGTACAGAAGATACGTATTCCAAAAGTTTGAGTCAGAATATATTTATTGATTAGAATGCGAATTATTTTTTAAAATTAATTTTACTAGTGATAATCTACAAGCATGGTAAGGGGTGATGACTAGACAAATATATAAAAATAAAGAAAGCATATCCTGACCAGGAGCGCATGTGCTTTACAGAAGGCAGAACGCCATCTGGTGGAACAGAAATCAACTAAACATTGATTTAGCCTGTTCCCTGATATTTGGCCAAACCAATTTCTTGATAAATCAAGAAAAGCCATCCACGAACGCGTTTCGCGCTGTTGGCGCTCGTCAGCATGGAGTAGGCTGTACCACTGCGGTCAAAAAGAATTTTGGTCCCAGAGGCTTCTTGAGAAACCAAGAAATGGGTATTTAAGGCCAAATTTGCGTAAATACGCATAACATATAAAAAACAATAGAAAAAAAAGTGGGTCAGGTGTTGATATTAAAAATAAAGAAGACATATCCTGAGTATTTACAATTATTATTCAGTGTCAATATTATAAAATACTATTCTATAAAATAATCCCTTGTATCAATATTGAGTAAAATCAATCATTCCTCCAGGGAAAAGTGTCTTTTCAAAATATTTTTATTCTCTAGCTTTCAGGTACGGACGTCTTTTTACAGGAGAATATCATGATACCAGGTTTTCTCCTGTAGAAGGACGTCCATGCCTGAAAGCTAGAGAATATAAATGTTTTGAAAATACACTTTTCCCTGGAGGAATGATTAATTTTACTCACACACACACACACAAAAGCCTTTATTAAGACACACTGGTCTTATAGAGGATTCTCCCCGAGATTACAAGAGAGATAAACCCGTGAAAGTGGGGAATATACAGAAGAAGAAAAAGAAAGATTATGTAAGTATGATATATACATACACATACATATATACAACATAACAACAAAAACCCCTATTAAGACCCAAAGTCTTACAAAAGACTCGACTGCAGGATCCAAGAAGCAAAGTAAGAAAGGAATAATTTTACACAATAAAATACTATTATAAACAATAATAAAAAACAACCTCCGAGGATAAGATTCTTACTTTATTTATATATTCTTTCAAGCTTTCAGGTATTATAAACACTTATACAGAAGTATATGCCAAACTCATTTCAGGTAAGAAAAATATATAGCAATAGAACTCTATAATTTCTACAGATCAATTGTAAATAGATTTATACACAAAAGAGGTAGAGAGGTAAGTTTTAGAACAGATGTGTAAATAAATCCCTTTTCAAACAAAGGCTCACGTACACATGGGGAAAGGGAGAAAAAAATACTGTATTATTTTGTTGTTGTATGGCGAATCCATACAGGCCAATGGGCCCTAGTAAAAGCCTTTCTGTTGTATATGACTGAATCTGAATCTAATACTGAATCTTAAGTATCTTAAAGATTCTATATCTATCTCTCTTATATTTTCTTCTCCTTTTCTTATTAATCTTTACAAAAGTCTAACCAAACCAGTGAGTTCAAGTAGCCAAACAAAGCTCTGGAAAACTTGTAAGTGAAAACGTCAAACCGCTTTCAATATGTGGTGCACTTACAATAAAAGCAGTCCCTAAATACCAACCATGATTATCACTGTCTTCATCACGTCTACTGAGAATAATATAATTTAAAAAACTTATATTCTAAGTTGCAATATTGCCATGTGGAAAATTAGGGAAGACAAAAATCAGGATGAGACAACAATTTATTTCAGGCAAAAACAAACTATGAATGGTAAACAAAAGATAAGCCACGAAGGAAATTTACAGAGTAGCAAAATATAAACATAAAATTTAACACTATGATAATAAAATAATAAAATTAATATATACTTTGTTACAAAATAGTAAACTATGGCTATAGTGAATCATAGCTCTATGTAGTGAACCTAAAGTTCAATTCCACTTGAAGATTCGCTATAGTAAAGTTCAAATGTCTTGTTTATAAACATTTATTCAACAAAATCTTTACTGTATAT